GGCGGAGTTATATTAGTTAGTTAGTTAGTGTCAAATGAACTAATTCTGTCTTTGGTTCTTTTTCTTTCTGTGAGACTTATTTATTTTTAATTATTTTGAAAATATTACATAATCATTTTGATGAATTAAACATTCATTCAATAGAAACACAAATTTCTAGATTTCATTTTCTTTCTCCTTTTGTTGTTCTAAATTATTAACATATAAATTTAATGTTTATTCTCATTACATACAATTAATAATTGAACTTATTAATGAAAATTCATTGAATAGTAAATCTTATCAATGGAATGTATGCATGCACTGTCAAACTATATCGGCTAGTTATTTTTTAATTAACAATACTCACAAGTTCATTGTATTTGTTAAGTTGATTATGCTCCAGGTGATAATAGTAAAATGACAAGTTTGAAGCTGAACTAATATTATGGAATACATATATATGTATGTATCTGCATATTTCAGTTTAAAAAATGATAATTGTAATAATATTAGGTGTTTAGTTTGACAGAATGAAATGTTGAATTGCTTCATATTTTAGAACTTACATTTTGGTTGATTGTTATGCTATGTATGAGTGATCTGGTTAAATACTTATACAATTTATAGTAAATAGCTTACAGCGTTTATAATTATAAATTATATTTTCACATTCAAACGAATACTTTTCATAAGCAGTAGTTGGAATTAGTTATGAATATGATGTAATAAGTTGTAGTTGTCAGGTTGATTTACTCGATTTTAAAGTATTTATCATAATAATTATGGCTATTCAATTTTTAAACTAAACACGTCATTATAGAACACAAAAATTATCGCTGCATCCATTGCCTAGATTCTAAGTGCTGATAAGTCATCATCACATGCTAACAAGTATAGTCAAATTTCCAAGAGATTTCTAAAATAGTTTTTAAAATCAGCAAACTGGCAGTCCAACTACAAAATTTCAATACGTGAAACAAAACTAAATAAACCTTTACGAAAATTTATATCAAGATACTAAGAAGAAAGTGTACTGTTTCTCATTAGGTTTCGTTTCATTGAATTTTTTTCAATGTTCGTATCGATTCAGAGAGACAACTGCATATATATTTTTTAATTTGACCTTAGACTTATGTACTACTAATACGTTTTGTGTGCTTAAGGATAATTTTTCGACAATCATTTGAAAAACTGTTGAATACCAAAGTGAATCAGGCACCTTAGTTTTAAACTCATTTGGTGTCCACCTCTAATCACAAAAAACAATCAATATCAAGTTTGCGGTAACCGTGATATGCCTAAACTATGAATCTACTCAAAAACTTAGAAAACAAATTAATTTTTCATTCTTAATTTTATTGTTTGCACCACGGCCCTTGAATAAACTATTCATCAAGATAAGTTTAATGCTTTGAATCTTCAGTGAACTAAAACGCACTTAGAATTCTCATAAGGTTTTTTTAATTAGATTTTTCATTACAAGATAGATAAAAATGCATTAATGAAGAAATGAAATGAGTCGATAAATATAATTTGTTTGTTTTCAGCAAAACATAGTCTAATATAATACATAGAAAATACAGATGTCAAATATTTAGTAGTTTGTATATAAACAAATTTTACAAATATTGATAACAATGTTTAAAGTGATGTGATATGATAAAATAGAAACTTTTATAAAATGTAATTCCGAATCAAGTTTTATTCATTCTGTTATATCCAGTTCTTTGATTGTCATTATTCATATCCATTATTTTTTTTTCTTGACCTTTGATTGATGATTTGAAATGTGTAAAGACACAAACCTGCAAAACTCTGCCTGAAAATATCGTAACAGTGCTCACTAGTGACTAGCTTCGTGAGAAAATTCTCGGAGTTCTAGTTGAGAAGACGTGACTAATGGAGTTTAACCCTGTCGGGTGTAGGCAGTAACTACCAGAAACAAATGGGTGAGGTCGCTCAAAATCCGTAGATCAATCAGACTTAGACATTAACACCGTTGGATGCCGGCCCAGTGGTCCGATGGTTAGGTGTTCGCGCACAATACAGAAGGTCCCTGGTTCGAATCATGTGGGGAGCAGGAGTCGTGGATGCGCACTGTTGATGAGTCCCATACCAGGACGAAACGGGCGTCTTTCAGTGCTTCCAGGTTTCTAATGATGGTCTAACAATGATTGATTGATGATTTGAAATTTGTAAAAACACAAACCTCCAAAACTCTGCCTGAAAAAAAAGAATTTTTTCTTGTTGAATATCAATTAAATGTGTTCTGTTTTGCATTAAATAAAAGAAAAACTAAATAAATGTCATTAGTTGGCAAAATTTAAACTATATTCCTCTTCAGTATCATGTATCTCTTTCACATTTCAATGTTCAGTTAAAGGATATGAAATCATCGAAAATGAAAGGCATATTGATGACAAAGTAACCAATTAAGAATACAGTTGTACTTGATTGTATTAAAATGTACAAGAGACTGTTGAAGAATGCTTATATTTTACTTCGAAAACGAATACTTATATGAATGTTGATATTTGTTCAGTGTGATTGTATGTTGAAAAAAAAATTTTTTTATTCACAATAACTGTTAAACAAAAAAAAACAAAAGGCAAATAATCAATTTATTTATTTCACTGAATCATCGCATACACATAGAATATTTATTTTTCTATCATAATAATTCTCAATATAGGGGTGTGAAGATTAGTACGTTACACATCTTTTAACCCATGAATCGATCAATGTTAGACAACCAGGTTTTTAATGATGGTCTAATATTGATTGATTCATGGTTTCAAAAATGTGTAACGTAAGAATCTTCACATCCCCGTAATACAAATTACCTGTGCTCACCAGTGACTAGCTTCCTAAGGAATCTTCTCCGAGTTCTAGTGAGAAGTCGTGACCAGCGAAGTTCAACCTGTTCGGGTGTAGACAGTAACTACCGAAGAATTTGCATAAGGTTGCGCAACTCCATCAGTTTAACAAATGAGACAATAACACTGTTAAATATAGGCTCAGTGGTGCAGAGGTTAGGCGTTCTCGCATAATACCGAAGGTCCCGGGTTCGAATCCTGCGAGGTGCAGGAGTCGTGGATGCGCACTGCTTAAGAGTCACATACCAGGACGAAACCGCCGTTTTTCAGTGCTTCCAGGTTTCTAATGGTTGTCTAACATTGATCGATTCATAGTTTCGAAAATGCATAATAATTCTATCATAACTTTGACTCTGTTTTTCAGTCAATTTCACTTATCATCCTTTGTTATTACTGCATCAAAATAGACAGACATTTTGATAAATTAGTTAAGAAATAACAAACCACATGTTTAACTTCATATGTCAAATATTGTTTTGTTTTCTTTTTTCAAATCATTAAAAGTAATTGATTTTGTCAATTCATTTCAGAAAATTTTCTTTGATTTACCTTACCAATCAACTTGTCATATGATTTTTTTTTTAATATATTTACCTAACTGTATAAATCAATACGATGATGTTTGTTTTACTTCTTCACCTTCTTGTTTATTTCAATAATTTCAATATAAGTAAATAACTTGACTATGGTATAATGATGATGATGATTGAATACGTTTTTTATTATAGATGCATGTTACTTTGTCAGATGGAATGAAATTGACAAATTAAAAAATAATTTGTAAAATGTATGTGTGAATAAAATGACGAAAACTATGATCAAAAGATTTGTGTGTTTTGCTTTTTTAGTATTTTTCTTTCTTCATGAAAAAATTAAATTCTGATATGAGATAGGATTGTAATTTTTTTTAGTTGACAATATATGTTATTGGAGTTTTGCTTTATCGATTAATTGATGTGTTTTACCAATCGATTTTCTATATAATTATAGAGTATATCAAATTTGTTATTATTATTCTTTTTAGTGTTCTTGTACCGTTGAACATCTTATCAAGAAAATATATGATCGACTTTAATTATATTTACACAGTCTAATACATTGATGAGTGTCAGCTTTTATTTTTCACACTATAAAAGCCAGTGTTCAATTTATTGTCAGACTAATCATTGATAATGAATGCATTGTGTATTTTCACAGAGAATAATGAACTGATGATTATATTAAACTATGTAAGAATATCCATTGAATATACATAAGCAGAGATGAATAATGGTGACTAGCAATAAAATCCAAAATGCACATTTCATCCTATTTGAAACTAATCAGCTAAATATATAATTACATCCAAGAGTTTATATTAGCGCCACTTAGTGGCTGACTCTAAACAGAGACTGACTTGTGCAATATGAGCGAAATTTAATTCGTCCGTATATCAATTGTTTCAATCTTCCTTATTGATACTTAAAACTTCAATTGAGTCGAATTACTGAACAATCCAACTGAGATGTAGTTAGATCTAGATGATGATTAGTCGTCAGTAGAATGAAACTGCTAACCACTGCCCAATCATGTTAACAATGCTTGTTTTATTTCCAATGGCAATATTGAAACACTCCCGAAAGGGATGCATATATATCTCAAAGAGACTGACCAATTACAGTCCTAAACATCAATTGGAAGTTTCCAACAAACGTGCAGTAAGTCTGTGTCACATGCACATTGATTAACAATGAAAGTTGATCATTGTGTGGTGCGCGCTACTTATAAGTAGTATATGACGCGAGTGTAAACGTAATGTCTGGCAGCAGAAGATGGGGGAAGATCAAGAAAGGAAGAGTGGGAACACAATGGAATTTGTATGAAACGCATGAATAGTGAAATGTCAGACAATGCATTGATGACGGATTGAAGATTTGCAAATTAACAGTTACGATATGGTTTTCGTATTTTACTGAGTAACTCTGTAATTTTCGTTAAATCCAATTCGGTTGTCCTCACCTGTGTTCTCCTTCACTACAATTGTACCTTGAAACAGATTAAAGTTCACGAATAGAGTTGATAAAATTTAATTTAAAAAAAAAAATAAAATAAAGAGATAATCTCTAATGTGATAAATTCGTTGTTTTTTTTTTAATTTCATAGATTAATAATCATCATCAAAGTGATTCTGGTGCTGAACTACCGAGTAGTATGAGTAATTCATTCATTGATAATTCATCATCGGATAATCATCAGCGAAATTCACAAACACTTTCACATAAATCGTCCACATTATCAAATCATAAAATTGATATTCATAACAATACTATGATGAATGGTCTGAATAGTTATAATATTAGGGTAGACATTAACAACAATAACAACAACAACAATAATGATCAAGATCATCATGATGATGAGGATAAATATCATCAAAATAGTAATAGACGAGTACAAAGACAAAATGCTAAACGTATCATATCACCGAATTCCGATCAAATGAATAATGTTTCACCTAAAGAACAAAGTCCAGATCAATTATTGAATTCAATGTTGAATGATTTATCCATTGAATTATCACAGCATGGTGCAAAAACTAATCCTCGTGGACAATGTTATGCTTGTAAAAAGCCTATCAATGGAACAGTAAGTCTAAATTCATATATATATATATATTACTTACGCCTGTTACCCCCAAAAGAGCATAGGCCACCCACCATTTTTCTCCAACCAACTCTGTCCTGGGCTTTCCTTTCCAATTCTGTCCAATGTTTGTTCATTCTTCTCATATCTTTCTCTATTTCTCGGTGTAATGTGTTCTTTGGCCTTCCTCTTTTCCTTCTGACACTGAGGATTCCAAGTGAGGGCTTGTCTTGTGACTCAGTTAGGTGCTTTTTGTAATGTGTGTCCTATCCACTTCCACCGCTTCTTCCTAATTTCCTCCTCCACTGGAATCTAGTTTGTTCTCTCCCACAGTACATTGTTACTGATGGTGTCTGTCAGTCAGTCAGTCAGATGCAACGTAGAACTTGGTACGTAAGTACATCAGTTCATGTTGCCATACCACATCAGCACAGAGATATAATTGTCTGGCTAACGAATCCAAAGTATTTTGCGTAGACAACTGTTCATGAATACTGGTATCTTCTGGATGATGGCTTTCGTAGTTCTTCAAGTTTCCGCTCCATACAATAGAACTCTCTTGACATTTGTATTGGAAAATCCTGATTTTGATTTCGGTTGAAAGTTGTTTGGAGTTCCAGATATTTTTCAATTGTATAAATTCATCTCTTGCTTTGCCAATCCGCTCCCTCACATCTGCATCAGATCCACCTTGATTGTCGATCGTGCTGCCCACATATGTAAAAGTATCAATGTCCTCCAAGGCATCTCCATCATGAGTGATTTGGTTGGTTCATGTTGTGTTGCATCGGAGAATTTTGCTTTTTCCTTTATGTTTATATATATATCGTTTATTGATCACATTGATTTCAATAATATTTTATTCTTTTATTCATACGATACGCTTGAAAGAATTTTTTTTGATCTATTGTCTACTTAAATCAATAAAGTGTTTGTAAAATATTGTTGTTGTTGTTGTCCATTGAACTAACAACTAATAATGATAATAAGGTTAACACGTTGACAAAATTTATAAAGTAGACATTGAAAAAACTCCAAATGAATATAAATTTACAGATACTATACTAATTAAATGTAATACATTTCTACTGATTTGATCAAACAATTTCTAATGTTATTTTCTTTTTCTCGGAATATTTGACACTCTACCATTTTATTCCATTCCAATTTTTATCATTACTGACTTGCATTGATTGTTTTTTTATCATCCATCACTGATTTGTTTCTAATAAAAAACTTGAACATCTATGAAAAGTGTAATATATATAATTCATTCATATATATATAATTGTTGATAAACTCAATTGTACTATCAATGTTTCTGGGGATATTATATTTATCATGAGTAAAATGAAGTGATTCTGTAGAAGATATAAAAAAAATTGTTACGAAATGAAGAATTTGTCATTAGTAGGCCATCATTTGAAACCTACAATCATTGAACGACTGTTTCGTCTTTGTATGAGACTCATCAGCAGTGCGCATCCACGAGCCAGGACCTTCGGTCTTTCACGCAAAAGCTTAACTTCCAGACCACTGAGACGGCATTCAACGGTGTTATTATCTAATTTTAATCGATCCAAGGTACTTAACAACTTCACCCGATGTTTTTGATAGGTAAAATTGTTTACACTCAATAGGGTTGAACTCCACTGATCACGGTTTCTGACTAGAATTCTGAAAATTTCCTCACGAAGCTAGTCACTAGTGAGCACATTTTTATGATTTTGCATTAGAGACTTATAATCTGTTCATGATTCCCATGAAAATCAGTTATCCTCCAAACTCTGTCATGAAAAATTGAAACATATTAAATTCATCCTACAAAAGTCTTCTAAAATATATATATATATATAGATAGATGAGAGATCATCACTGAAGTGGTATATCTTCACTGAATCTCTTGTTCTTTTAAAGTAAATTTTTGTATCTACCTAACATTTATTCTGATCTTTGGCATTGATTATTATTGTTGCTATTTTTAACAGTTAATCACAGCTATCGGTAAAGAATGGCATCCGGAACATTTCACTTGTGCTAGTTGTCGTGTTGGTTTGGTTCGTCAAGATTTTTATGAACGCGATGATCAAGCCTATTGTACTCAATGTCATCTACAAATGTTCTCGCCTAGATGTGGTTTTTGCGGTGAAGCAGTGGTTGAGGTTTGTTAATCATATTTCTTAACATATTTTTTTCTTTTAAAAATAAAAAAGAGAATAGAAATTCAAAATAACTTCAAATAAATTCGTTTAGTTAATTGATAGAAACTCTCATTAATATCTATTTTCATTTCTAAATAACAAATATACTGTGTCATTGTTCAATAAATTATCTTACATTATTATCTATCCATTCATTCTTTAATTCTATAAATTTTTAGTTTACAGGTTATTGGGTCTAGTTGTTAATTCGTTATCAAAAGATATAATTTAAAATAGTTATTTGAAAGAAATTGTCAAATCTCATAAGATTCAATGATAGAGCAAGCTCATGATCTAGACTTAATTAAAAGTTTTTTTCTCTCTTCAATAAAACCGTCTTTCATTTTAAAAACATTTATTCATTTTTTAAAGAATTTAACTCTTATAATCTATCGTTGAAGTTACAACTACTCAAATAGCTTTAATGAAATTGTTTATCAGTTACTTGCAGTTACAACTAATCATAATGTTGTAAGTGTTTAGATTGATGATTAGGATAATTATTTTTAAATTAACTTTTGAAAAAACAAATTGATTTCATTGACTTTCTTGAGAAAACAAAAAAACTATTATTTTTTCCAAAATCGAGTCCAAATAACATCGCTATCAATAATAGTATGATATTTGTAATCAATTGATCATAGTTGACATGTTGAGTTTTTTTATTTATTAATCAGTGTGAATAGATTTACAATTTAATAAAATTTGAAATCATCAATCAATCATTGTTAGGCCAACACCATTAGAAACGTGGAAGCATTGAAAGACGGCCGTTTCGTCCTGGTATGGGACTCATCAGCAGTGCGCATCCATACAAACCTCCAAAACGCTGCCTGACAAAAATAATTTAATGAAAACTATTTTCTGTGTAAATAGAGAAAGAACAATATTTATATTTCAAAGCTTCATATCAGCTGTAAAAGTCTTCAATTTACATTAGTCTCACATTATTATTTTTTTGATTTATTTGATATTTCTATGGATTAAACACAAATCTAGCCATAATCGGTTTGTTATCTAAATAACCCTGTATTGTTGTTAAACAAGTTTTTAGTCCATTCAATTCAAATCAGTTAGTTTAGTTAAGTTTTGTTAAACTTCTTAATTTTATGTATGCAAAGATAATTGAAATGAATCTAGGATTACAATTTTTGAAGTACCTTTATAGATATAGCTAATTCAATACATATATATTAACACACACAGAGAGAGAGAGATACATTTCTATACCCTGCATAAACAACAACTAGTTTGTATTTTAACCTCTTGTATATCATAAATTATAAAACTATGATTAATGATGATTCATAGCAATTAAAGTTCATTAATTTACATACATATATGTATATATATTTATATTCATATGTAACCATCGACATTCATAGTTAATATTTTTCAAAATACCATATGGATCACGTCCTTTTGTCTGTTTTATTTTTATTTTTTTATTTGAAAAATTCTACTATTTCTTTTTGTTAAATTGTTAATCATCAGTAGAAGAAAAATTGATTTTTAAGTAATTTCTTATTTTCCTACTTCAAATAACCTACATTGACATAGAAACAATTGTAACACAATCTCTGTTTGTTTGTTTGTTTCAAATGAAATTATGATGTAGGAGGTGATTCATTTTGTATGCCAACATCTTTATTTGTCAAGATATTACTTTTCAATGGGATTGAGTTATACACACATACTGAATGTATTATAACTTAAGGAACTATAAAAGTTGTAATTTGTTAAAAATGAATTATCTAAACTTGAAAATATGGATCATTGGATATTGAATTAGTAAGTAGTCTTGTGATGCGATTGGATGCTTTCCCTAATGAGTGTCTTATCCACTTCTAACGCTTCTTCCTGGTTTGCTCCTCCGCTGGAATCTGGTTTGTTCTCTCCCACAGTAGGTTGTTGCTGATGGTGTCTGGCCAATGGCATTCGAAGTATTTTGCGTAGAAAATTGTTAATAAACAACTATATCTTCTGAATGATGATTGCTTTGGTTGTTTTTCAAGTTTTTTCTCCATACAATAGAAATGTCGTTACATTTGTATTGAAAATTCTGGCTTTGGTATTGGTTGGTAGGTAAATGTTTTGAGTTCCAGATGTTATTCAACTGTAAAAATGCTGCCCTTGCTTTACTGATCCGTGCCTTCAAATGTGCATCAGATACACCTTGTTCATCAATGATGCTTGCCACATGCGCAAAGGCTTCTACATCCTCCATAGCTTTTCCATCAAGAGTAATTTGGTTGGTACATGTCGTGTTGTATAAGAGAATCTTACTTTTTCCATTGTGTATGTTGAAACCTACCTCTGCAAAGGCTGCTGCTACTTTGATTGTGTTCTTCTGCATTTTTCGTCATGTATAGGATAGAAGGACTAGATGATCTGCGAAGTTCAGATCATACAATTGCATCCGAGCTGTCCAACGTATTCTGTGCTTCTTTGTGGTGGAGTTTCATTCTCTGAGATGAATGTTATGGTTATGGGGCGCTCATCTTCCTTCTGAACATTGTTCTTCCCCATCATCTCCTTGCTTCCTCTAAGATATTGACATCTTCATAATCCAGTCGATTACCAGGAGAAAGATATGGCGTGAGAGTAGGCGATCTTGGCTTGGAACGAGCCGTGTATACGAACTCAAATTTGCTTACTAAGTTTGTTAACAATACATTGACACTATATGCTCAGATCTTGGAAATAATGTTGTGCTCATACTTTAATAATTTTTGGAGTGGGGCATTTTCATGATTTGTTACCCTACCGCCTACTGAAAGGTTTTTGTCAATATTATTTCATTAAGCATCCAATCGATAATTCAGCAAACTTTGTTTACCTCATTTTATTCAAATCATGCTCGCTGAAATGAATAGAAAGTATTTATGCAAACGAAGAGAGAAGAAATAGGTGAATGTTTACAAAAAAGTCACTATTTTTAATTTTATTTTACAAGTATCGCGTATATAACTTAATAATATACTTTCTAAATTTGTATATAAAACTATTTCAACTCTTTTAGAAATGTGTTTTGGCTTTGGCACGTGCATGGCATCCTCATCATTTTTTTTGTTACAGTTGTCATTCCACTTTAAATGGATCATTAACAGTACATGAACGAAATGACAAACCCTACTGCTCGTAAGTTATGAAAATGTTAAATAATAATAATAATTGATAAAAAACCAATGGAAGTAATAGGTAAATTGATTGATTACCTAGTAAAACGGATTGTGTAAAGCTGAGAATCACAAATAAATAACTCGAATGCATGCTTACCACTCATTATTAATAAGAGTAAACTAAAATCGTTTGAAGACAACTTATACTTTCTGAATTAATGTTGATTATAATATATCAGGACATTTTTATCATAATTTACTCTAAGTGGATTATTCCATCGGTGTAAAAAAATTAACATTTTTATCTATGTAACATGATAAGTCATAATATCTATCTTAAATGAATGATAACTTCAGTTCCATTGTATAAATTTTAGTGTTAGTTGACTGGTAGCAGCCTTGCCTTTAAAACTTTCTGCAAGTACATTTTACTGACCATTATCATTTCACCTACATCTAGTAATTTCAAAATAGTTTTATTAGTCAATTCTATCGTTGTAATGACTTGAAACTGGTCATTTGAGTTGAGCTAAGTATATAAACGAAATAATCAAAGGTGATTAGATTTTGTACATGTTTTATGACTTGTCTCAACCTAATGCGTTTACTGAACTACACAATGAAACATCTCTTTTATTGTTAGTATTCAGATTTATTCTCAAGTAAACTAACCAGTGTGCTTCGAATTTTTCAATAACCTGTCAGCTGATAATAATTCATGTTTATTTGCTGTATGATTTCTAATGATCAACTCAGTTAGTTTAGTTTTATAGGTCCGAATCATTATCAACTATATTCCATAATGTTTAGGTTGGTAATCACCAATAAAATCCATTTATTTCATAACCTATAACAATTTGATTAATCATGATTTCCTAAGTTTCCATTGTCAAATTGATGATTACATGCTGTTTTTTTAAAGAAAACAGAACAGAATACCATGTTGATCTAGTTCATTTAAAGTGTAAAATGTATAAACCAACTCTTTTCATATGTAGCAACTGTTATTTCACACTGTTTGGAACTCCATGCTCCGGTTGTCAACAGCCAATTACAGATGCCTACATTACTGCATTGGATATGCCTTGGCACAAAGATTGTTTTACTTGTCATGTAAGTTATATTGCTTATAATTAATTTTATTTTATATCATTACTTTTGACAAATTTCTTTTTTTTAATAATTTTGTTAAAAAATTTCTCATAAAATTAAATGAAGATTATTTTCTTGAACTAATAAGTCACGTTAACACTGCTTACTAGTCATGTTGACTTTTAACAATCTCTTCAGTTGTTAACCAAAAATATTAGTTTACTGTACAACAGTTCTTTGAGTCCTATTTTATGGTTGTGAAACAAGGCTATCAAGGACAGAGGATATTCGTAGGTTACTAGTATTCAATCACAAGTGTCTTTGAGCATTTTTCATGGATTCTGCGATCATCGAGTATCACTGTCTAAATTAGGAATAGGGCATTAGATAAGGATGGAATACAGATTGGCAAGTTAGGAAATCTTCATCAGCTTAGTTGATTGAGAGATGTGTTACCTAGTCCCGATAACTTACTACCTTGATGAGTGGTGTTGCATGTTGTAGGAATAGCTTGGAAAAAAGATTGAGGCATTAGTTTCATAAGTGATTGATAACTAGTCTGAGCCATCTACAGATTGGTCCAGACTATCTGGTCAGAGTTCACGTAATAATCTTAATCAGTGGTTAGATACTTTAAATAATATTTCTGAAAATTGTTCTCAATGGCGTAGGTACATGCATTATTTAACTTCTCCGAAATCCTAAGTTTCAGATTTCCTTATAATTTTTTTATTCTACTAATTTATATTTCCTTTATCTTCTTACAGATCTTAAGTTTTTAAATCCGTCAATCTCTTTTTTCACCCCGATTTATGTTTTCTTGAATCGTATCTTCCATGTCAAGTCTCTTGTACAACCAATAATATTGGTACTACCTCAAAAACTTCGTCTAACTATGCCAGTGGGGTATGGCGACTTGAAGCGATATATATATATATATATATATATATAAGTACCCAACACACTACGTTACGTTTAACGGGTTGTCTTAAAAACGATCGTACATTTATATACAATCAATTCAAAAGATGCATTTGTATCAATCGTTACCATTCCTTTAGATCAAGAATTTGAATTTCTAATTTTAGAATCTCATGAGAACTTGTTGCTTATACATATTATTTTATGAAGAGAATTATTTCACCAACACATACTAGATTAGATCGATGATTAGTTCTCACCTCACATACTATACACTTGAAAGTTTATTCTTCTTTACAATACACTAATAGTTCCAAATTTTCATTAGTTTACATCAATTTTCGGTTATTTTAAACATCATAGAGATTTCGATTGTACCTTGAAAATATAAATGAATGATACATGTTTCAATGAAAAATTTTAATAGTTCATAATCCATTATATATATAAAATGAAATAAATAGCCAAATAATAAACTGAAAATAATCAAATCATTCACAGTCTGGCTATCAAATAGTATGTGATTTTCTTTTCATTCTTCTCTTTTTATCTTATTTCTTTTTGTTCATAAACAGGATTGTAATAGAATACTCACTGGGACAAGTTTTCATGAAGTTGATGGATATCCTTACTGTGATTCACATTATTATTCAAAACGTGGTTTATTGTGTTTTGCATGTTCATTACCAATTACTGGAAGATGTGTGAATGCACTTGGTAAACGTTATCATCCAGAACACTTTTTATGCGCTTATTGTTTACATCCATTACAAACTGGTACATTTAAGGAACATTTAAGCAAACCATATTGTCATCAGTGCTTTACTCAATTATTTGGTTAGTATGGCATCCATATATATATACTGTTCTGTTCTTATTCTTGTTTACGTTTCAGATATTGAATGTTGAACGGCTTTGTTTATTACTTTTAAATTGTCTCAATAATATAATAAACAATCAATGCTAAATGATTCTCAAATGCTCACTTTCTTATGCATCAAAGCGTTGTACATACTGTTTGTATTCTGTTTTCTTCATATTTAATCTTACAGCTCATAACTTGTTTATTGATTAGTTTGAATAGCTTACTTTAATAGTTATCAAGTGTATTATGTTAGCGAATATTCCATTTCATAACATATGAATGTTTATTGCATATATGTTTATATTACTTGATGTAAAAAAGTAGTATAATTATTTTATGATTATTTTATTTTATTGTCACGCAATGATTTCCGTCTATTTGATTATCTTTAAAAGTCTATACTTGCAAAACATTTTGATAGTTTTCCAATCGAAATCAGATGATAAGTTCGTCACTTAGTATGCTTGAGGCTATTACGAGTTTACCTTAGTCGATAAACGCGAACGAGACTTTTACCAGCGTCCAGGTAGGCTACCTTGAATACCCAAAGTCGAAATAAAAGGCTTTGTAAGCGTAGACAGTATATTCTACAAACACCCAGCAATCACAGTACAATCAAGCATACAACTCTCGTTTATTTATACAACATAGGAACGTCCTTGAGACAGTTAAGAAAATAGCACACTAAAATACACAGCAGCCAATCACAGCCATGGATTTTCCTGGTGGGAATTGGAATCTCAAGGTCATCTGATCAGCCCATGCTGGCAAAACGTGAAAACCAAAATACGGCATTATCAAGCGAATTTTGGGGATCTAACATCCTCAACATCAGAGTTACATACGGTCTTAATAATTTAAAATCATCACTGTTATTAATTGACATCTATTTTTTGTCTCGATATATGGCTATTTGTACTCTTGATGTTAGGATTTTTTTTCATAGTTAGTTTTACATTTACTTTCGTAGGCAAGTAGTTAGGTTCCGATAAAATATTCAACATCTTTATGTTGATTATATTTATTCAAAAGCATAGAAACCGAATGCATGTTCCATAAATGAAATTGGCAAACCAAAAGGTTGATGACTTAATGAGATTTAGGGCAAATTATACTTGACTGTTATGTGCTAAGCAATAAACTGGAGAAGACTGGCTTTTCAGAAGGAGTATTTTATTATCGCAATTTAAGGTGACATAACTGTATAATTTGTATTTAGAAATTGTCGATAAACAACTGTAGATAGAATAAAAAGACATAATAACATTAAAAATAAGTAGTGGATAGTAGGAAAGTATGGTGTTTAAGTTCGAGCCAACGTTAGGCTGGAAGTTACTCAGGCAAGAGTTATAGGTTTGGTTATTCATGATATCTTGCTCTAAACTTCTTTTCATTCAATGGTTTTGAAGACAAATGTAGACTTGGTTGAAATTCAAGCAACTTGTTTCTCATATTTTTATATTCGAAAATCCTCTTATATATTTTCGATAACATAAAAAAGCATGTTGACGATTTATGCACAGCGTTTATTGGATGACCAGTTCTTTAGTTTGTTCAAGATTTCAATTTCGAGTAATATTATTGCAAAATTTAGGTTTTGTAAAATATTTTAACTCAAATGAGCGTAAACTATTTGCTTTTCTTCACGTGGTTTTACTAGTTAGCATGAAGAAGCCTTGACATCATTAGATCGTTTATAAACTGTGTATTGTGTTTTGTATATTGTAATCTTTAAAGAATGTTCATATCATAATTTCACTTCTACTGTCCTCTGATTTTAGATGTTATTGAATAAAAAGTTAAATGTCGGTTGGGCTAAACACTGGGTGCATACTTACATCACTTAGACACAGTATACTGCAAATAGGTCATATCAAGCAAACATGAATATCAGCCCTTTAACAGCTTTCATCAGATGTATTATCTTGTGGTTGAAGCTTTTTCATGAGTTTTCGGTTCAGTGTGGTTGTTAAGTATAAGTTTTTCATGCTTGCTATGAGGCATTTACAGTCATTTATGATATGGAATTGATAAGTCCTTCAAATTATGTATACATTAATGTATAACTTGAGATATCTTATTCATGGGTTGTAACAACCACTCAATTTCTTACACTGTGTGCCTGTCGTAATTCAAGCAACTACGTACCATAATAATGTACTTCCCGTAAATTAGTGTAAATGTATCGAGCTTTTACAGAACGTTAAGTGGTGCTGCTACTTTAAGGTGAGATTTAGAAATGACTTCAAAAAAGATTTAACGATAGGTTATTGTTCAGTAACACTTTATTGTAACGTTATTTTGAATAACCTGCAACGCTAAAATAAACCATTAATATTTATTCACCAATTTTAGAACCTTCACACCATTGAGGCTCACAAGGCTATCTTTCGTCAGTAAACTTATTCTCATCTAAAAAAATATGGTTTCAGGAAAAATAATTTCTGTTTTCCCTATTTGTGTATGACTACTTATGATTATGCGTAAGGTAAACGTTATGTTTGAACATGTTAGGATGATGTTTTAGGGGTAAATAAATCCCTAAAATATATGCTTCTTTAAGTTTTCGACATCGGTGCCGACTTCATTCGTTTTGCTGAAAACACCTAAGTTGAGCATGCATCCGCACCGGGTCATCAAGGGGTACGTATTGCAGTGCATCTCCTCGTCGCAAATAGTCAGCATAGTTCACTCACTATTCGGCATCACAACCATTAGTAAAAGTTACTTTCTATCATCTTCATTCCTGACTTCTGGTTTGATCTGGTTTTGGATATTCTCGATCTGAACGATGTTACCAGTAAAAGCGTAGTCAAACTCCGAATATCCATAACATCTTCACTTTGATCAATCTAGTGGTGCTGTATTCCGCATAATTTTGTACGAACTATTATGATATCAGTTGTGCAAAATCTTTCCGCTGTTGAAAACGCAAAAGTATACAAACGAAATGTTTTTTTTTTTTTAAAAAGGATGTTTACCACTTAAATATGCAATTGAATCTCATTGCTAGGAAGATAATAATAAATTGCTTTTAAAGTCTAAGATCATAAAGCAGACAGTTTGCGACAAAATTCAAATTGAACATATAGTGGGAATAACTATTATCTAAAGAAATTACTATCAGAGAAGCTTTATTCATCTCTATTACTATGGGTTTTGAATTGACAATTGCATCTATGTGCTAATGTGGTATGGTACGTACGAAGTTGTACTCTGTAATTGACTACTGACTGAATTTCGGTATTTCAGCTCTTCACAATTTCAAATTTAATGCTGACGTTTCAAGCGCATCTTGTGACAGTAAATGTGAATCGTAAGCTGACAGTTTTGATAATGGATAACTCCTGGGGTTTCATTAGGCTTGAACTAGAAACAGTACATATTCTTAAAGAACGATTCGAAAAGCAATCACATCATACACTGACAGAATCTGATATTTAAACGTTAATCCACTAATCTACTCAGTCCTACCTGGATTAATGTGACTGGATGAACATATAATTTTACGTCAAAGTAATACCATCTACAGTTTCTATAGACTGATTCACCTCAACTTGGTGACAAGGCGCTTTAGGGAAATAGGTAAACGCTTACCGGAAAAATTGTATATTCGGAATAAAGTTGTGAGGGGTTTGGAGTATAACTACCACTGCATCGACAAGGCTAGATCAACAACAGATCAGTCCTCATTGATCAGTGTTGATCCTGACGAAGTTTGCTGAAATACTCATGGTTCGCTGATCAGTCGTCTTCTGAGGTAGGGAAGGCATTCGTTGCTGAGTGTTTCACAGGTTAGTGTTTCCGTTGATGTTAGGTGCTATCTTGGTAATTGTTGAAATTATTTTGATTACTGATAGTTGAGATCCAGATTTTTTAAGCAAATTTATTGTTTTGAAAATCTAACAATTTAGAATAAACTGCTTCTTCTAGTAACTGAATTTATTCTTAATCTGCGGTCTGAAACACGACTCTAATACTTTTAGTACTTATGAAACTGACAGATGTTATATAGTCTAAGATTAGACTGTATTTGTAGTTTCTATAACCTCAGCATGTAGTGTCCCCACATACATTTGAGTTCGTTCATATTTAATTTGGTTGGGCTTTTTGATTAACTTATTTAACCAAGCAATTTGAATAGCAACAACTTATATGTACCATTGACTTTTACGGTTTTCTGGTTCGTATGAGCTGCTATGACTACACACAGCTTAACAACTACGCGCATACTCATCCTCTTCGCTTTAATGCTAATCCCCTAAATATTTCTATGACTCCGAAATTTTCCCATGTATATATATGTACATTTTAATCTCATTAGTTCATTCGCCAATTCACTCACTCGCTAGCATGCTTGCCCTTCTCTTCTTGCTTGTGGTCTGTTGTCCATTTTTGTTGTGCCATAATAAACGTATTTAACACTTCGTAATTTGCACATCCAGACAACCGTCCCTAAATAAAGCCTGATGGTTTATAGATCAGAAGTTCTAAGAACACGTTGGATACCGACCGTCACGAAACTAGTGATTCACTGGCCACCATAAGCAAAACTTTGATGCCACAAAAATTTTACATGTTGTAGAGTAACTGCTTGTAATTGACTTAAATATATTTATTAGTGCTTTTCGGCCTCAGAAGCAGAACATTCAATTAAAGGAAGGCCAGATTTAAGGAGAACCGAATATACATTACTTACACAGAATTTCTGTTCTACAGTAAACAGACTGCTAACAGAGACACTGTCGTGTCTGGTACTATATCATAACAGCATGCGTGAACCAAGCTTTCTAACGGACCAGTTTATTTACTCTGAGCAATTAATAACATTTTATGGTCAATCACTCGCCTGCAACCTTGACTGTATTCATTGGAGTGTATATGTAGGTATCATTAACTCTTTTTATCATATTTCATAAGCTTACTTTGTCTGTTTGCTTAGCGTCAGACACACTTCACCAAACCTTTTCTATCTGATTTGCTTCGTTTCACGGTTTCCGATTTTACTGTCTATCTGCGTGAACGGTTTCATGGAACAAACTGATTTGACTAATTTCCTACTTGGTTCCTTCTTCGTACAAGCAAGGTTAGCCAAAATGCAATAAATGGAATAAAATGGAGATTTATTTTCATTGTATGTTCACTCGTTCATCTGAAAAGTATTCAGGTCTCAATCCATTTAAAAAGGGTTAAATTTCGAGTTTGAAATCGAGAGACAATGACAGCGACTATTTTCAAAAGAACAACAGCATTTTAAATAAGGTTTGTTAATTATACATCATAAACTTTGTCTGAGGGAGCTCAATGATTTAGTTCAATGAAAAAATATATTGCTCACAAATTCGAACCACTTCAAATCGATATATAATCGACAAATAAAATTATTTTTGATAATGATCAGGTTAACATTGACGAATGTTCGGTTACTAAATCAGTTATTTTAACATCGATAGTGGAAAAGGAAACAAGGGTTTGGGTCACAGCATCAAAGATGAGGTTTTGAGTTGTAAACATAGAACAGGAACGTTTCAAAGTGTCAACACTTTTTTGAAATTGAAAACAGCTATTTTGGAGACACGTTTAACTGATGTTAGCTTGAAACTTTGATATTTGACCACTTAGTTCTTTAAGGTATATAATAAAGTGGTTCCTTCACCAAATCAAGGGACTCCGTGAATGACTCGCCATTTTGGAATCAATTTAAAATGGAATACTATTCAAATGATATCTTTTAATCTCCTTTTTTAACTGTCAACAGAAGGCACGAATTAAATATGTGCAGTAAATAAGCTAGGTATTTATTATGCACGGAAATATTTAGATGGTAAAAGGACCGGTATTAAGGCCATCGAATCCCTTTGAAATAAGATAACCAAGCAGAAATTTGAGTGAAATGAATAGGACCATGCCAGTGTGGTAGCTTTAGGATACACTATAAGTTTATTACATTAAATAGTTAGATACACCAATGATTAAGCTATAAAAAGGTGTGCCGAGAACATAATTACAGTTAAAAGAAAATTGAATCGTCAAACGCAAGCCTTATAAGGACGAGTCTGTTAAGAGTACCCACGCTTATCAGTACTTCCAGTCTATCTATTAGGAAAACAAACGTTTAACAGCCAATGGATGATACGTAATATACAAGTGGAGATCTACTTTTATGGAGAGAACGTGACTGGTTTAACAGAAACATTCATTATTATAACCGACTGCACCAGTGATTGTTTCCTGAATCTCGTTGTTTATCACTATCCGTAAGTGCAAACCTTCCGTTTGTGTTACTGCCATTTTAGCTACATTCTATGTAATTTAGCCCCCCTTTCGGTATACTTAGAACACCACGAAATCGCCAGCAAATGTATTCACTCGTATGAATTATCTTATCTTCACTGTGAAAGGCACATAACTGGTCTGTAGTGGTGATCTTAGCCAACCTTGACTCGCCTTTACACATAATCTTTGACACAGTGTGCAGTGTAGTTAGACTTTATATGAATTATAGTTACAATTAATTAAGCTGTTGTTTCACAAACAAGAGACTTATATAAACCACAGATCTGGTGCTTGTTGTCTGCTTCCCCTCTAATAATATCATCGTACGTGGATTATTAGTCATTTAAACTTTTTCAATAGAAACATTTAAGAAGACTTGAGTCATATTGTAAATTTTTGTTACTTCCGATCGAAAAACTTGAGTCCATATGATGAGTTAAGTGCTGCCGATCCTACAAAAGCATACGAAGATAGGTTTTAATATATTAATTTATTATTACCGTCTAATACATTTTACCATTAAGATCTCGTTCGTGAATCTAGTGTCTGTAGAATCTTTTTTGAATGTTTTGTTTTTTGGAAAATCCCTCCATGTTTATATATTTTTGTTATGACATGACGGACTCTTTCTGTTGACATTTTGGTATTTTATTTGATTCCAATTTGAGACTTTATCATTGTATATTATTATTATTTCTATATTTTGTACTTATATTGAAGTTTTTATGTTTGCTTCTGAACTGTACATATGTTGTTTAAATTTGATATAATATGGCTACAGCCACATTTTTGGATTTGATATCGTGCGGTATAGGAGTTCACCTAGTCTTCGGAACCTCGATACTCATTCAGAGTAATTTTGAATTGGAAGGCGTAAAATTTGTTAGACCATTTTCTCCTAGAATTAATGTGTTTTGATATTCTAAGTCGGAGAGTGCGTCCAACATACGTCTATTGGGATCGAATTGAACTGCTACGGTAGAAAATCCTATTACAGTGTCTAATAAGTCTTTTGAAACCAGGGTGTACCTGAAGTGAACATAGTACTGTGGTGGTGCATTGAGGTCTATTAACTGCCAGTATTTATGTCTTGGTAGTCCTTTACAAAAGTTTTTGCATAGTAGGTGCTGCCAGTATACGTAAAATGAACCTGTTAACTCTTTCTTCATCAAGTTAAACAATATTGGGTGATCACGTCTACGATGAGCCGTATCTACAGGCAAGGTCGAAACAGATCTTAAATGGCGTTATGAATTTGCTTCTTCTAATACTCCCATATTTATATTATAAACAGAACAATCGCTGACGACCTAAGGGTACCTTTCGAATCACTCAAGTTGTTGCTTCGCAAGACAGTATCAAGTGACAATCTTAAAGTGTCAATATAACTATTTCAACGATTAATTTGACGCAGTTGATTGATCATTTCTATTGAGGATAACCAGTTTACCAATGTGTATTTATTCCCGATACAGCTGCTTACTATTAGCGATCTTAGACTTTATGCTATAGACAACACTGACGGTGTTTTCCTTTTAAAAGCTATTCCTTATATTTTTGACTATATCCAACGTCGTCATTATTTTGCTATCACAAGACAACATATCATAAATCTAGAACGTTCGTCCGCTAGCTTGAAAAACCTCTCCTGTACACATCGCCACGTGTAGCAACTCAAAACATTACGTCGCCGATGAATGTAGTCGGTATACATTACTTTCATTCATAAGATCACTACTTCACTGACCCGTTTTAAAGAAAAGTCGACTCTAGACCCAGATGAAGAGGTTTCGACCAAGAAACTGTCACCGAAAGGGAAAGCGAAGGTTTGCAGAAGCCATATTAAGACCGGCTGACTCAAGAGTATCCAAAGTATGTTACTCCATCACCAAGGCAAGTCAGTTGCGGGAATTCATTGACGCCTCAAATAATTTTAACCACTTTTATGAGTATTTCTATTGAAAACGTGGATCCTGTTCACAGTTTCACACTTATTTCACCAGATTTATCTCCACCTGAAGATATTAGTTATATCCTTCGATGCACTAGATAAATCACTTACTAGTTTTCAAGTGTTTGCGGAAGCATAACTTTACCAGGCCAACTCAATGTATATAATAAGACTAAACTGGTTATTGAAAGCCTAGTAATCGGCCTATAATGGTTACCGGCTCTATTTTGAGCGAGCGTTACTAGAAATCACCCATGATATAACAAGATAGAGCTTCAAGACTTTGTTTAGGACAAGGATTGTTTTTACCAACTACTTATAGGTCACACTGCTGCCGCGTTAAGTAGATGGGCTCAAGGCCAATTAATCTAGATTTCATCCTTACGAAGGAACTCGCGGAATATTTGTGCAAGGTTAGTAGTCAAGAAATATGCTCTCAAGACCTAAAAAATAAAATAAGCCAACTACTGGAAAGGAAATCAGTTATCCCATTCCCCGTTTTAAATGATTGCTATCATTTGACGAAGAAGCTTTCAAATACTTGCCAAAACAATGTTTACCTCCCATTTTGGAAAATTTTTCTGACCACTTCGGTAGTCCTGCCGGCTGTTAAACAAAATTCTAGGAATCAGAGTTTAGATGCTCATTTCGAAGATTTAAAAAATAAACGTGACAACATATGCTACCAAAAAATGACAAGAGATATTGGCTCACCTTTGGTCTTCTCAACCGCTCCTAAGGCTCAGAAGACTTGCTTTGCTGAACTCAAGTGTGCCAAAAAACAACTTGTCATGGTTCTCAACTTTATTTTTATTGTGGTGTCCGCCTTTGTATTCGGATGTTTCCTTCCAGATTTAATTTTCTCAGGTCATTTTGTATCACTTTTCCTGCGAATGGTTTGCGGTTTGTTTTGCTCGGCTACAGTCTTAGCCGCTGATTTTTACTTCTTAGTCAGAAATTTCAGTTTACTGGAGAAAGTGTATGAGTGATTTTTAATTTCGTAATATTTTGGGATTATGGGCTTTTCAGTTTTGCGAAGTAATAAATTTTCACAATTTCTAGTAGTTTTTTTAGCCCTCCTAAACAGTCTGCAAATGGTTATATAGATAAACAAGTAAGTTTTACTCAAATTATCGCTCTCAGCTCTATCAATGCTATCCATAATAATAATAATCATAAAAGTTTAGTTCTATAATAACCTTTATTACGAATCTTGAACCGCTAGATAACAATCATTTACGAATTAATTAGGTTACAATATGAGCAAAATCACCAATGCTGTGATGCATATGACACGATATTTTAACATTATAAACGATATACTTAAGATAAATATATCCCAATTGTTCCATATCGACATCCGACTTCAGTTTAGTATTAATTATCTTGATGATAATCACTTCGTTCTGGAAAATATATATCTACCGTTGGACAAACATTCATGGGGATTGGGATATGAATACGAGAGATTCACCGGCTGAACATTGCTGTGTATGACGAAAACTAACCACTTAACCGTCCATCATAAAACTGTCATCTATGAAACATCCTTTTCTATGCAATGCAGCTACCAGGACGTAAGTAGATCGAAATAATATTGCTTCCAAATGTTTAAACAGTAAAAAGATATCTCGCAAAACGTACAGATCTCTTGTTCATAAAGATGAATTCATAAATTACATCATAAGTCTTAACACTAAATTAGCTAAGATGCATCCAAAATGTCAAACTACAACTCAGCTTGGTGTATGATACTGCTCAAATATGGGTTAGTGTAAAGGCATGAAAACCACCGTTTTGTCTGCGGCCATTAACTATTGGACTGAGTTCTATAGGTGACTGAGGAGCCTTTGTATGAGTCATTATATTGAGTAATGTTGGTCGGTGTAGACTCTCTGGTTGGGATCCGCGAGACGAAAGTAACCAATGGTTAGAGACCTTGAACGATATGGCCTAAAATCGTTTGCAATAGCGCAGGTGCATCCGGTCTTTGTCTTCTCTCGAATTCTAGCCTTCTGAATTCCTCATCATCTCTATCTTTTTCTTTCTAAAGAAATCTCATTGAATTATACTTCTCGAATCATATCTTCGAACCCTAATCTTCTCCATTACTGCTAATACCTCTGTTATCGTTACCACTATGTGATTTGAACTGAAATTTGCATCTCTGTGCTGTCTGGCAGTCTGAACTGATATACGTACGTACGAAGTTCTGTGTTGTATCTGTCTTTTTGAGTTTAATATCCATTATATTCAAGGTTTCATACATACGCATATCTGATGTACGAATAAATGACCGGTTGTTTGGTTTTTAAACAGCCTACCTGCAACTACCAACTACATCGCAAGTCGAGGTAGTTGGTGGTTAGGTTAGGCCTGGTGCCATCACAATAAATCCACCAGTTAGATTTCACGAGTTAGGGACGAAAAATCCTAGTTAAGTTTTCAAACGAGAGGTAGCTGCACAAATTAGTTTCAAATCTAAGCAGTATCAGATTCAGATAGATACAACGCAGAACATCGTACGTACGTCCATCAATTCAGGTTGCCATGCCCCATCAGCACAGAGACGCAACTGTCAGTTCAAATCCAAAAGTGATAGCAATAATAGAAGTATTAGCAGTAATGGAGAAGATTAGGGAGCGAAGATACGATTCAAGAAGTATAATTCAGTAAGATAAATTTAGAAGGAGAAAGGTAGAGATTATGAGGAATGCAGAGGCTTAGAATTTCATATAAAACAAAGAGTGGATGCACTTGCGCCACTGCGAACGATTTTGAGCCATGTCATTCAAGGTCTCTAACCATCGGTGAATATCGTCTCGCGGAACCCAACCAGGTAGCCTACATCTACCAACATGACTCAGTCCACTTGTCAGTGATTTCATGGATTTCTGCCACGTTTTGGTTTGACCGCCTCTAGCTTTCTTCCAATCAACTCCTACACTGCAAAACATAGCTCGTCGAGGCAGTCAGTGGTTAGCCATACGTAACACCTGTCCCAACAACCTCACCTGATGAAGTTTCAATACTTCATCTATTGATTTGCCGTCCTTACCTAGAACTCGTTTCCTAACGACAGCATTGCAAACGGATATCTCGCCTGTGCCATAAGTGACGCAGGTTTGCAAAAGCCAATCGAGCCATCTGTAAACTTGCTGAGATTTCGTCAGGCACCGGGCCATCAGTGCTGATGAGACTCCCAAGATAACTTAAGTGATCAACACGCTCGACTACTTCACTCCCTATCACTAGTTCAGGTGCCGATGCAACCCAGTCTTGAAGCAACATTTTGCGTTTCGAGGGGGAAAACCGCATCCCGAACATGCTCGCATTGTGGCTTAGGGTGGTCAGAAGACTGCATTTTGTCAGCGTCTTCACCGAATAGAACTGTGTCATCGGCATATTCTAAGTCAATAAGCGAGCTTCCTGGTAGAAGGTCAACCCCTGAAAAATCTGACGAGCTTAATGTCAACTCTAAGAGGATGTCTACGACAAAGTTAAACAAGAATGGAGAGAGTGGACAGCCCTGACGGACACAACTTGATGTAGAGAATTCCGATGAAAGTTCGCCATAAACTCTCACTCGACCAGTGGTGTTCGATTGGAGAGCTTGTATAAGGTTAATATACTTCTTTGGTACACCTTTCAATGACAGACAATGCCACAGAAACTCACGATCCACAGAGTCGAATGCCGCTTTTAGGTCCATGAACACGACTATTGTCGGACGTCTAAATGTGTATCTGTGTTCCAAGACCTGTCGTAGTGTGAAAATGTGGTCTATACAGCCACGTCCAGGTCTGAAACCAGACTGGTTTTCTCGAGTCTGCTCTTCACGAGCTCTAGTTAGACGTCTAAGTATAATCGAGGCTAACAATTTAGAAACTATATTAGTTAGACTTATTCCCCTGTGATTGTCACAGGAGGACTTTTGTCCTTTCTTGTAGATTGGGACAATTAGCGACTCAGACCAGTCAGATGAGATTACGTCCAGTTCCCAGATTCTACCTAGGATCTCGGTCAGTCTAACTGTTAAAACTGGACCACCACCCTTAAACATCTCAGGGGCAAGTCTATCAGGACCTGCAGCTCGCCCTCGCTTCAGATTTCCTATAGCTTTCTCAACTTCATGTAGACTGGGAGGACTTAAATCGATTGGCCATTCAGGATGACTGGGGATCGTGGACAACCGAAGTGTGGCTCGAGGCCAGTTGAACTGATCCCTAAAGTGTTCTGCCCATCGATCCAGTCTCCTGGATTGAGAATGGATAATAAGAACATCCTTTTCCGAGATAGTCTCACTCACATTCGGGTTCCTAATACCGGTTTCTTTGATAAGGCGGTAAAGTTGTCTAGTGTTGCCTATCGCCGCTGGCTTTTCCATCGCTTTTGCTTTCGCCACCCACAACTGTTCGCGGTCGTTACGTAGGCTTTTGATCAGTCTGCGCCTAAGCTGACTTCGCTCTTCATCATGTTCAGAGTCAGGTGGGATGCGTTTTCGAGCATCCATCAGTTCGGTGGATGCGACTGAAATCCACGGCTTCATCCTAGGCTTATGGTTTACCTTACTAGCAGATATCACTGCTGTTTCCACAGCCTTCTTGATATCATTCCAACCTGACTCCGGATGGGAATCGCTTACATGGTTGCCTAACTGTTTTTCTAGTTCCTCCTGAAATATTTTCTTAGCTTGATTATCATTAAGTAAAGCCCTAAGAGGCTTCCTTACGGCGCCTTTCCTACGTCCACTAAACCTCAAACAAATACGCGCTCACACTAGGGCATGATCTGAATCTAAACATGTGCCCCAGAACGAGCGACAGTCCTCTATCGAACCCCTCCATCTGTGGCTGATGGCGATATGATCTAGTTGCGTCCAACGTTGAGACGACTTCGCGGGTCGCCAGGTCAAAAGATGTTTTTCCTTATGCTTAAAATTAGTGTTTGCTAGAAATAGTTGGTTATCTGAGCACAATTTCAACAGACGGTCGCCATTGTCTGCTCTCTGAGCCGCGACACCATAACATCCACCAAGGTGTCTTTCATTTTCACTTAATCTACCTACTTGAGCATTAAAGTCACCAGCCACTATTACTATGTCAGAGCGCTTAACTTTTTGGTGGAGGTCCGAAAGCTTTCTGTAAAACTCGTCTTTCACATCGTCTGGACTGCAGTCAGTGGGGGCGTAGGCTGATATGACGAAGAGGCAACGACGAGTGTCCCTATCCTTCCGAATCCTTACTGTCCCGTTTAGTCGGACGGCGCACAAGCGACTATCCACTGGGATCCAGCCTAGGAAAGATAGTTCTGCCCGACAACTCAATGCTATACCTACACCAGCGAGACCCCGGGAAGCAGCATCAGGGCTACCGGATACACGAAGGGTGAATCGAGTTGCTTCTTTATCTTGACATGGTGAGGTCAAGTGAATGATGCTACTCGGATCCTGTATGCGCGTTTCCGAGACGCAGCACACATCGATGGCACGAGATTCTAAAGTCCTAGCTAATGATGCCTGTTGCCCTATTTGACACAATGTCCTTACATTAAATGCTCCAACATGTAGTTTAGAACGGGGTTTCAAGAGACCAGGAACGACGTTTGGCGAACTCGCATCGTTTGCATTAGCTGTGCACTGTGATAAAGGAATGTGAGAAGAGTTAGTCGTGGGGATAAGAGAGGTATTAGGGGGTGTAGGAAGGATTTGATTTTGAACAATTTGGTCTCGTGTGCTGTTGCGGGCATGAGGGCGGTTATCACTTCCCGGCTGCCCAATCCGTGGAAGGTTGTTTCTTGAGGGACCTGTAAAGGAAGATAGATTAGTGTTGGTCTTAACGTCCTGGGTGCGTTACCACAGAGCCCAAGGGGCAACTGCTTGAGGCCGGTCACGCACGGCGTTTTTATGAAATGAATGAATGACGCTACTCGGATGCTGTATGTGCGTTTGCGAGACGCAGCATACACCGATGGTACGAAATTTTAGAGTCCTTGCTAAGGTGCCTGTTGCTCTATTTGACACAATACCCGTGCATTATATACTCCAATAAAAATTTCAGTAGACCAGAAATGACGTTTCGTGAACTCGCATCGTTCGTCTACGCGGTGTTGTGAGATGAGATTGGGAGTAGAGTTAGTTGCCTCCAGATCGTATTGCATCAGCACATAAACTAGTGATAGGGTGTGAAGTAATCAAGCGTGTAGACCTCCACCAAGAAAGAGAATGATCTAGTGAAGTGAACTTAGAAAAAGAAACAGAAGTAACGAGGAATTCAGGAGATTAGAATCTGAGAAAACAAAAAGAATGGATGCACCGGTGCATTACAAACGATTTTAGGCCATGTCGCTCAAGGTCTCTAACCACAGGTTACTTTCGTCTCACGGATCCCAACCAAGTAGCCTACATCTGCCAACATGAATCAGTCCGATTGTCAGTGACTTCATGGGTTTGTGCCATGTTTTGTTCTGGCCGCGTCTAGCTTTCTTTCAACCTACTCCTACACTGCTAACCACAGCTCGATGGGGCAGTCGGTGGTTGGGCATTCGTAACACATGTACCCTTTAGTACCTCTTCTACTACTGGATTTGAATTGACAATTATATCACTGTGCTGATGTGGTATCGCGACATGAACTGATGTACTTACGTACGAAGTTCTACGTTGCAACTGACTGACTGACTAAACACATGTACCAGCCACCTCAACTGATGAAGTTTCACTACTTTATCAACTGATTTGCCATCCTTACGTGATACTCTTTTCCAAACAACTGCATATGAGCAATGCTTCGAAGACACCTACCTACGGTCGAAAACCAGTAGCCTGCGCATATCCTCTACTCTTACCAGCCACGTTTCACAGCCATTAAGTAAAACTAAGCGAAGGAAGGAAGCGGTTGTAATTCTCTCTTCGCCCTAAGGACATATGGCTCATTTTAGTGACATCGAAATCTACTTCATTACATCACCATAGTAGTTTTCGACATTTTTCAGTTTGGAATTCTATTCTATAAATTGACTTATTCTAACTCATTGTTCATTACTATCACTTACTTATGCCCAGTTATTTCGGCATGTAACCGCCTACGGTTTTGCGCCATGTTGCGGAAGAGCTTTTATATCGTATCTATTTGAAACATTCCATCTGATCTGAACATACTACTGATTACAATATTTATCTAATTTTTATAAATCCTCAACAACTTTTACCTTAGTACCGACTAACACTCAGACGGACAAGGTTTTAGGAAGTACCATGTAACTAAACAGTTTGTACAGTTTACCTGGTAGTCGGATCAGCGTCAGCAGTGACAGGATATTTGCTTTCTCGGGATTGAATAATAAGTCACCAAATCGATCGAACAATATGACACGGAGAGATTCAGAGACATCCGTTGAAGCATTTTGTCTGTCGAAATGAGTACGGAGAAGGGGATCTGATGGTTTATAACCAACATGCGAAATATGACCAATATTTGTAATTAATTCAGCTATCACACGATGAGCTGATTCGACACACTTTAATTCCTCCTCATTCAGTGTAAATGTTCCTACTAGTCGCACACGTGAACGAACCATACCACGAGTTAGATAAAGAGGAATTCGACAAACATAATCTTTCTATTGATATTTCAAAATGAGAGAAAATACACAATTTGCTGATAAGTCTTTTTGTGAACGTATAATTTTTTTTCGGTTGAAATATTGTCACAAAAATAAAAACAGAATATGATTTCCTAAGCATCTACGAATTTTATAGTCAGATCTGTATTAGCCACACTGGTTTCATGCGTTTATTCATACTAACTAGATGCTTAGAGATAGATGATGTGAGTTTAGACTTCAAATCCACAGGTTAAAAATGCTCAAACGAATGAGTATCATCTCCACAATTGGACGGATCGCACATTGAAAAATAATCAGGATGTAAGGTGGATGTTATGAACATGATTTTTGAAATATTTGCATTAGCACACTCATAGTAGTGACATGATACGGCACGTAGGATGAACTCTTATTATCCTTGCCATAAATTACGAAATCAACTGCTAGTAGTGATTTAAAAATAAAATGCCTACTCCAAATCATGTGTGCATTGGAACTTTAACTTTGTTTGACTAATAGTAATTTCTTCGAAAACTGGAGTTTACTTTTGACTTTTACAAGGCAGCATTCAAAAACGGAAATGACTAATTTGTGATAAGCATTTTCACTAGACTAGTGAGGTTTAATTTGGGGGCTATCATCCACACTTTGCGAACAGACTAATGTCAATCCCAGTAACTAACTCAGAAACTTCCTAGCCTCCAGAATAGATAAAACCGGTAGTAACTAGCTTCATGAGATAATAGCATATTCTGATTTGATAGACAGAAAAACAAGGCAGGAACTGGTTTAAATGTAGGACGCTTGAACTTGTCTCAATTCACACTAACATCGCAAAAAGTCGACAAGTGGAAAACTAAGTAGGCAAGAATAATAACAGCAGAATAACGATAAGAGAACAGATGAAGTAGAAGTAATAGATAAAGTCGGTAAATTTAAGGCTAGGTTCATCAGGCGTTATTCTGCGGCCGTTGCACGCTTATGTAAAAGACGGCGTTCGCGTTCGTATTCTTTCATTCTGAGCAGCTTGTCACCCTCCTTGCAATGTGCATATTGGTGTTTTAGATCGGAACAGTATAATGTTGGAAACATATTTTCCCATCGGCATTTTCTGAGGGCGATCAGAAAGTGAGCGCAGTAATCTCGCTCGCGAGGCCTTAGTCCCGCAGCTATCATTTCTTCTTCAGTTAGCTAAAAGATGAAATTATGTTGAATTAGATTCACGAGAATATCCAAAAGTGGCTTTGGCATTACAATTATATCAATTTATGTATGTTTACATTATATATATATATATATATATAATCAAACTTAATGGACATTTTGAAATGCTACTCCGTAGATGAGGTGTAAAATAGCTTGCAAGTTTTTGGTGCCGAACTTTTACTGCAGCTGTTCGATAATCTGATGTCACGACAGTCAAAATAAAGGTATAGTGAGAGCATGTCGATAGGCTACGAGGAATATACTAAATTATCTTTTAAAATATTAATAAGTAAGTCGGCTGGTTGCAAATCGTAATTACCTAGGTCATTAATGACTCACGGAAATAAACTAATCGATAATCATTCGCACTTATAATTTTTAGTCTATAGTCTCGTCGTCTTTTGTGAACATCGAAAAGCCGTAACTATTATGAAATGAATTCTACCTAACAGAAACGATATTCTGGATTTGACTTTCTTGGTATTTGATATGTCCGAGAACTTTGCTAACAAGTTCGTTACTGAAACTTTAATATCACGAACAAAACTAGTGTATCTTTT